AAAAACAAGTTTTGCAATAAATTATTCTTATATCAGATTTGATATAAATATAATACTTTTAACATTCTCATGTTTGTCTTTTTATATAAGGATTGGCATGCAGTGAGTTATTCATTAAATTTGTATATCATATATTTAACATCAATTTCCATTCTAAAATAAATAAATATCACTCCTCATATACAAAAGATAAAGATAATAATATTTAAAGTATAATCTTTATATCAGATCTGATGTTAGAATAATTTATTGCAAAACCCGGTTTTATTGCAAAACTGGTTATGAAAAAATGCAACAAAATCGTGTCATGGCAACCAGTTTTGCGATAATATTTTAAAGACTTTCTCAAAGGTTCTTCTTAGTTTCGATATTCTTGCAAGATCAAATATGTATATCACAGAGTTTTGAGCCAAATTGCAATTATTGTTGATATTGAAAATGTCCTGAAATTTAATAAAAGCCATTTAATTACCATGTTTTTTGCAATTATGAATAGATGATTTTAGAATGAAATATGATGTTAAATCATGTATACAAATTTAATGAATAAAATAACTGCATGCCAATCCTTTTATAAAAAGCCGAATATTAGAATGTTTAGAGTTTAATCTTTATAACAAATTTGATATAGAATAATTTATTGCAAAACTCGTTTCTATTGCAAAACTGATTGTGAAAAGATTGTAGCAAAAATATGTCATTGCAACGAGTTTTGCAATGAATTATTGCAAAACTCGTTTTATTGCAAAACCGATCGTACCATGTGCTGTCCCTAACACAAAAATTAATTTCGTAAAGGCCCAAATCTTTTGACACATTTCGATAATATATGGAAAATGCTCAAATTAGACATTCACACAAAAATCAGTGCTTTTTTACCTTATCCCACAAAACACCTACGCCTTTAATTGCTTGCACGCCCCTCCCTTATACATTCAGTGAACAGTACTAAAATGTTTCATAAAATGAATATACATTTTTGATAGTATTAAAAAATATAATATTATATGTACATGTATATTTTTCCAGTCACCTGCGCAAGTTTGTCATATAACAGACCGAATGTACATTAAAGCAAAAAAGTATTTCTTTGATGATGTATTTGATAAGACAAATGCGCTTGGGCATTATAGAAAAACAGTTCTAATAACACTTATTCATAGGAATATTTATTATATATGTGTATAATAATTATCTTTATTTCACACCTTATGAGCAATAACCAATAGACTTTCAGCATTTGCACCACGTGATGTTCCAATAGAAATCATTATGGGATCCAGTTTTATCAATTTAGCCCCTATTTCATTTTCAAAGTTCAAAAAGTCTATGCCAAATCCATATCACATCACATATAGCCTCGTTTTTATTTTAGAGTTCAAAATATCTTTATCTAATGCATATCATTCTCCATCTAGCCTCGTTTTCATTTCTGAGAGTCGAAAAATCCATATCAAATCCTTATTGAAAGTTCTGTCAAAATGGCAGAAAATCTGGTGTGAAATAAAGAGGTTGAGCAATAGACTGATTCTATTAGACTTGTACACAGCCAGACTCCCTGTACAATATTATATAAATATTCATTTTTCACATTTTCAGCATAACATTTGCAACGGATATGTTATATGATTATAATACTAATCTTATATAAAATATTGAATTATACTGAGAAAATGCCATAAAAGTTTAGCATATTTAAATCATGCAGTTTCCAGTGAAGAGCAATGTGGCGATGTAATTACGTTCATGAGAAACATATTTTCAAGTATATTATTTTTGTGGGCATTTATATACATGTGTTTGAAATTGGCTGCATCTTTTAAGTTTGTAATTAAACAAAAACTATACCTTGAACCTAAGTACCACGTGTACCACTTTACCACGCAAATAAGGTAATGTGTTACTCTGTGTATGTAATTATCATAACAGTACTAGATATAACATTATAAACGGGATCTTGTTCAACGCATATTAATGTATAGAATAATTCCGTTAAAATTAAATTCTTATAAACACTGAATAATCTAAGATGCTTATACGTAATTCATGACTTTTCTGGCAATTGAGCATGAGCTTACGATTTTTTCCTATCCTTATACTTTTATGGCGCCCATAATTTTACTTTTATTAGATAAACGACTAGACAATTCAGCACAAACCGTCAATCAGTGTCAATTTGAAGCATGATGCAGGTCAGCTTTTTGTCAAACAGAACATATTCTTAAATCTAAAATGTCTAGACATCATTACATTCTACACAGATTTTTATTTTTCAATTTTACAGGAAGAGAACAACGTAGTTTCCTTATTTGATGCTTTCCAAAGGAAGAGCATGGAAAACATCTAGTCGCCGCCTTTTGTCGGTCCGTACCCTGTCTGTTCGTCACACTATTTTGTGGATAATTATTTGAAGGGAATTGAAGACATGTGATTTAAACTCAACACCGCGATAGAGACTTGTCAGCTTCTAAGAACAATAACTCTACATAACCTATTTTTGAATTATCTCCCTTTATAATACTAAATAATTCTTGACTGGCGAATAATTTGAAAAGTATCAAATGAATTTGATTAAAACTTCACACACTGGAATATTCCATTAAAGATCAAAAATGCTATCTTGCTGTAACAGTGAGGTAGTGACGGTAATGTTAGCTGTAGATACTGTAACAGTGACAGTGATAGTAATTGTAGTGACGGTAATGTTAGCTATAGACACTGTAACAGTGACAGTGATAGTTCTGGTAGCGAGGTATTGTTAGCTGTAGATACTGTAACAATGACAGTGATAGTAGTGGTAGTGACGGTTATGTTGGCTGTAGATACTGTAACAGTGACAGTGATAGTAGTGGTAGTGACGGTAATATTAGCTGTAGATATATTGTAACAGTGACAGTGATAGTTCTGGTAGTGACGGTAATGTTAGCTGTAGACACTGTAACAGTGACAGTGATAGTAGTGGTAGTGACGGTGATGTTAGCTGTAGATACTGTAACAGTGACAGTGATAGTAGTGGAAGTGACAGTTGATGTAAGCTGTTGATACTGTAACAGTGACAGTGATAGTAGTGGTTAGAGACGGTTAATATTAGCTGTAGATATTGTAACAGTGACAGTGATAGTTCTGGTAGTGACGGTAATGTTAGCTGTACATATTGTAACAGTGACAGTGATAGTAGTGGTAGTGACAGTAATGTAGCTGTACATACTGTAACAGTGACAGTGATAGTTCTGTGTAGTGGCAGTAATGTTAGCTGTACATACTGTAAACAGTGACAGTGATAGTAGTGGTAGTGGCAGTAATGTTAGCTGTAGATACTGTAACAGTGACAGTAATAGTTCTGGAAGTGACGGTAATGTTAGCTGTACATACTGTAACAGTGACAGTGATAGTAGTGGTAGTGGCAGTAATGTTAGCTGTAGATACTGTAACAGTAACAGTGATAGTTCTGGTAGTGGCAGTTAATGTTAGCTGTAGATACTGTAACAGTGACATGATAGTTCTGGTAGTGACGGTAATGTTAGCTGTACATACTGTAACAGTGACAGTGATAGTAGTGGTAGTGGCAGTATTGTCAGCTGTAGATATTTGTAACAGTGACAGTGATAGTTCTGATAGTGACGGTAATGTTAGCTGTACATACTGTAACAGTGGACAGTGATAGTAGTGGTAGTTGGCCCAAATGTTAGCTGTAGAACATGGAACACTGACAGTATAGTTCTTGGGTTAGTGGCGTAAATGTTAGCCGTAGTACTGTAACCCAGTGATAGTTATTTGTAGTGATTGGTTTAATGTTTGGTGAAAGATACGGTAAAGTGCCAGGTGATAATAGTGGTGCGAGGTATTTGTTAGCTGTGATTTGTACCAGTGGCCCAAGTTAAAGTTTTGTTATGATAGTTCTGTTGGCTGTAGTTACGGTAACAGTGACAGGGATTAGTATGTAGCGATTTGTTAGCTGTAAGATAACTGTAACAGTGGACAGTGCTAGTTATTGTTATGTTTAATGTTGGGCTGTAAGATACGCTGGTAACAGTTGACAGTTAGTATGTGGTAGCGAGGTATTGTTAGCTGTAGTTATACTGTAAACAGTGAACATTGATAGTAGTGGTAGTGACGGTAATGTAAGCTGTAGACACTGTAACAGTGACAGTGATAGTAGTGGTAGAGCGGTAATGTTAGCTTAGATAGACATTGTAACAGTGACCAGTGATAGTAGTGGTAGTGACAGTAATATAAGCTGTAGATACTGTAACAGTGACAGTGGTAGTAGTGGTACGTGTCAGAAACGACAATGTTATCTGTAGATACTGTAACAAGTGACAGTGAATAGTAGTGGTAGTGACGGTAATGTTAGCTGTAGATACTGTAAACGAGTGACAGTGATAGTAGTGGAAGTGACGGTAATGTTAGCTGTTGATACTGTAACAGTGACAGTGGGTAGTAGTGGAAGTGACGTAATGTAAGCTGTAGACACTGTAACAGTGACAGTGATAGTAGTGGTAGTGGCAGTAATGTTAGCTGTAGACAACTATAACAGTGACAGTGATAGTAGTGGTAGTGGCAGTAATGTAAGCGTTACATACTGTAACAGTGACAGTGATAGTAGTGGTTATGACAGTAATGTTGCTGTAGATATTACTGTAACAGTGACAGTGATAGTAATGTGTAGTGACGGTAAGTTAGCTGTAGATACTGTAACAGTGACAGTGATAGTAGTGGTAGTGACAGTAATGTTAGCTGTAGACACTATAACAGTGACAGTGATAGTAGTGGTAGTGGCAGTAATGTTAGCTGTACATACTGTAACAGTGACAGTTATAGTAGTGTAGTGACAGTAATGTTAGCTGTATATACTGTAACAGTGACGTGATAGTAGTAGTGGTAGTGACAGTAATGTTAGCTGAGATAACTGAAACAGTGACAGTGGTGGTAGTGAAGGTAATGTTAAAGCTGTAGATACTGTAACAGTGCAGTGATAAGTAGTGGTAGTGACTGTAATGTTAGCTGTAGATACTGTAAACAGTGACAGTGATAGTAGTGGAAGTGACGTTAATGTTAGCTGTAGACACTGTAACAGTGACAGTGATAGTAGTGGTAGTAACTGTAAATGTTAGCTGTAGAACTGTAACAGTGACAGTGATAGTAGTGGTAGTAACTGTAATGTTAGCTGTAGACACTGTAACAGTGACAGTGATAGTAGTAGTGGTAGTGACAGAAATGTTAGCTGTAGATACTGTAACAGTGACATTGATAGTAGTGGTATAGTAACTGTAATGTTAGCTGTAGATACTGTAACAGTGACAGTGATAGTTGGTGTAGTGACAGAAATGTTAGCTGTAATATTACTGTAACAGTGGACAGTGATAGTAGTAGGTAAGTGGCAGTAATGTTAGCTGTAGACACTGTAACAGTGACAGTGATAGTAGTGGTTTAGTGACAGTAATGTTAGCTGTAGATTACTGTAACAGTGACAGTGAAAAGTAGTGGTAGTGTCAGAAACAACAATGTTAGCTGTAGATACTATAACAGTGACAGTGAAAGTTGTTGGTATATATCTGTAATGTAAGCTGTAGACACTGTAACAGTGACAGTGATAGTAGTGGTAGTGACAGTAATTGTTAAGCTGTAGATACTGTAACAGTGGCAGTGAAAGTAGTGGTAGTGACTGTAATGTTAAGCTGTAGATACTATAACAGTGACAGTGAAAGTAGTGTGTGGTATTATCTGTAATGTAAGCTGTAGACACTGTAACAGTGACAGTGATAGTAGTGGTAGTGACCAGTAATGTAAGCTGTAGATACTATAACAGTGACAGTGAAAGTTGTGGGTATTATCTGTAATGTAAGCTGTAGACACTGTAACAGTGACAGTGATAGTAGTGGTAGTGACAGTAATGTTAGCTGTAGATACTGTAACAGTGACAGTGAAAGTTTGTGAGTATTATCTGTTATGTAAGCTGTAGACACTGTAACAGTGACAGTGATAGTAGTGGTAGTGACAGTAATGTTAGCTGTAGATACTGTAACAGTGACAGTGAAAGTTGTGGTATTATCTGTAATGTAAGCTGTAGACACTGTAACAGTGACAGTGATAGTAGTGGTGAGTGACAGTTATGTAAGCTGTAGATTTACTGTAACAGTGACAGTGGTGGTAGTGAAGGTAATGTTTGCTGTAGATACTGTAACAGTGACAGTGAAAGTAGGGGTAGTAACTGTATATGTAAGCTGTAGATACTGTAACAATGACAGTGAAGTAGGTGGTAGTGACAGTAATGTTAGCTGTAGATACTATAACAGTGACAGTGGTGGTAGTGAAGGTAATGTTTGCTTTAGTTACTGTAAACAGTGACATGAAAGTAGTGGTAGTGACAGTAATGTTTGCTGTAGATACTGTAACAGTGACAGTGATAGTAGTGTAGTGACGGTAATGTTTGCTTTTAGTTTACTGTAACAGTGACAGTGAAAGTAGTGGTAGTGACGGTAATGTTTGCTGTAGATACTATAACAGTGACAGTGAAAGTAGTGGTAGTAACTGTAATGTAAGCTGTAGATACTGTAACAATGACAGTGAAAGTAGTGGTAGTGACAGTAATGTTAGCTGTAGATACTATAACAGTAACAGTGATAGTAGTGGTAGTAACAGTAATGTTAGCTGTAGATACTATTAACAGTGACAGTGGTGGTAGTGAAGGTAATGTAAGCTGTAGACACTATTACAGTAACAGTGATAGTAGTGGTAGTAAACCAGTAATGTTAGCTGTAGATACTATAAACAGTGACCAGTGGTGGTAGTGAAGGTAATGTTTTTGCTGTAAATACTGTAACAGTGACAGTTGAAAGTAGTGGTAGTAAACTGTAATGTAAGCTGTAATACTGTAACAGTGACAGTAAAAAGTAAGTGGTAGTACCGGTAATGTTAGCTGTAGATACTGAAACAGTGACCAGTAAAAGTGGGTGGTAGTGAAGTTAATGTTTGCCTGTAGATACTGTAACAGTGACAGTGAAAAGTAGTGTTCAGTAACTGTAATGTAAGCTGTAGATACTGTAACAATGACAGTGAAAGTAGTGGTAGTGACAGTAATGTTAGCTGTAGATACTATAACAGTAACAGTTGTGATAGTAGTGGTAGTGAAAGGTAATGTAAAGCTGTAGACACTATTACAGTAACCATGATAGTAGTGGTTAGTAACAGTAATGTTAGCTGTAGATACTATAACAGTGACAGTGGTGGTAGTGAAGGTAATGTTTGCTGTAAATACTGTAACAGTGACAGTGAAAGTAGTGGTAGTAACTGTAATGTAAGCTGTAGATACTGTAACAGTGACAGTAAAAGTAGTGGTAGTGACGGTAATGTTAGCTGTAGATACTGAAACAGTGACAGTGAAAGTAGTGGTAGTGACGGTAATGTTAGCTGTAGACACTGTAACAGTGACAGTGAAAGTAGTGGTAGTGACGGTAATGTTAGCTGTAGATACTGTTACAGTGCAGTGATAGTAGTGGTAGTGACGGTAATGTAAGCTGTTGATACTGTAACAAGTGACAGTGATAGTAGTGGTAGAGACGGTAATGTTAGCTGTAGATACTGTAACAGTGGCCTAGAAAGTCGTGGTAGTGTCAGAGACGACAATGTTAGCTGTAGATACTATAAACAGTGACAGTGATAGTAGTTGTAGTAACTGTAATGTAAGCTGTTGATACTGTAACAATGACAGTGATAGTAGTGGTAGAGACGGTAATGTTAGCTGTGATACTGTAACAGTGGCCTAGAAAGTAGTGGTAGTGTCAGAGACGACAATGTTAGCTGTAGATACTATAACAGTGACAGTGATAGTAGTGGTAGTAACTGTAATGTAAGCTGTTGATACTGTAACAGTGACAGTGAAAGTAGTGGTAGTGACTGTAATGTTAGCTGTAGATACTGTAACAGTGACAGTGATGGTGGTAGTGACAGTAATGTTTGCTGTAGATACTGTAACAGTGACAGTGAAAGTAGTGGTAGTAACTGTAATGTAAGCTGTAGATACTGTAACAATGACAGTGAAAGTAGTGGTAGTGACAGTAATGTTAGCTGTAGATACTATAACAGTGACAGTGGTGTGTAGTGAAGGTAATGTTTGCTTTAGTTACTGTAACAGTGACAGTGAAAGTAGTGGTAGTGACGGTAATGTAAAGCTGTAGACACTATTACAGTAACAAGTGATAGTAGTGGTAGTAACAGTAATGTTAGCTGTAGATACTATAACAGTGACAGTGATAGTAGTGGTAGTGACTGTAATGTAAGCTTTAGATACTCTAACAGTGACAGTGAAAGTAGTGGTAGTGACGGTAATATTAGCTGTAGATACTGTATTACAGTAACAGTGACAGTAGTGGTAGTGAAGGTAATGTAAAGCTGTAGAGATAACTATAACAGTGACAGTGATAGTAGTGGTAGTAACTGTAATGTAAGCTGTTGATACTGTAACAGTGACAGTGAAAGTAGTGGTAGTGACTGTAATGTTAGCTGTAGATACTGTAACAGTGACAGTGGTGGTAGTGACAGTAATGTTTGCTGTAGATACTGTAACAGTGACAGTGAAAGTAGTGGTAGTAACTGTAATGTAAGCTGTAGATACTGTAACAATGACAGTGAAAGTAGTGGTATTGACTGTAATGTAAGCTGTAGACACTATTACAGTGATAGTGATAGTAGTGGTAGTGGCAGTAATGTTAGCTGTAGATACTGTAACAGTAACAGTGATAGTAGTGGTAGTGACGGTAATGTTAGCTATAGACACTATTACAGTAACAGTGAAAGTAGTGGTAGTAACTGTAATGTTAGCTGTAGATACTGTAAAAGTAACAGTGATAGTAGTGGTAGTGACTGTAATGTAAGCTTTAGATACTCTAACAGTGACAGTGAAAGTAGTGGTAGTAACTGTAATGTAAGCTGTAGACACTATTACAGTAACAGTGATAGTAGTGGTAGTAACAGTAATGTAAGCTGTAGATACTATAACAGTGACAGTGATAGTAGTGGAAGTGACGGTAATGTAAGCTGTAGACACTATTACAGTAACAGTGAAAGTAGTGGTAGTGACAGTAATGTTAGCTGTAGATACTATAACAGTGACAGTGGTGGTAGTGGTAGTAACTGTAATGTAAGCTGTAGACACTATTACAGTAACAGTGAAAGTAGTGGTAGTAACTGTAATGTTAGCTGTAGATACTGTAAAAGTAACAGTGATAGTAGTGGTAGTGACTGTAATGTAAGCTTTAGATACTCTAACAGTGACAGTGGAAGTAGTGGAAGTGACGGTAATGTTTGCTGTAGATACTATAACAGTGACAGTGAAAGTAGTGGTAGTGACTGTAATGTAAGCTGTAGACACTATTACAGTAACAGTGATAGTAGTGGTAGTAACAGTAATGTTAGCTGTAGATACTATAACAGTGACAGTGGTGGTAGTGGTAGTGACGGTAATGTAAGCTGTAGACACTATTACAGTAACAGTGAAAGTAGTGGTAGTGACAGTAATGTTAGCTGTAGATACTATAACAGTGACAGTGGTGGTAGTGACAGTAATGTTTGCTGTAGATACTGTAACAGTGACAGTGATAGTAGTGGTAGTGACGGTAATGTAAGCTTTAGATACTCTAACAGTGACAGTGAAAGTAGTGGTAGTAACTGTAATGTAAGCTGTAGACACTATTACAGTAACAGTGATAGTAGTGGTAGTAACTGTAATGTAAGCTTTAGATACTCTAACAGTGACAGTGAAAGTAGTGGTAGTAACTGTAATGTAAGCTGTAGACACTATTACAATGACAGTGAAAGTAGTGGTAGTGACAGTAATGTTAGCTGTAGATACTATAACAGTGACAGTGGTGGTAGTGAAGGTAATGTTTGCTGTAGATACTGTAACAGTGACAGTGAAAGTAGTGGTAGTGACGGTAATGTAAGCTGTAGACACTATTACAGTAACAGTGATAGTAGTGGTAGTGACAGTAATGTTAGCTGTAGATACTATAACAGTGACAGTGATAGTAGTGGTAGTGAAGGTAATGTAAGCTGTAGACACTATTACAGTAACAGTGATAGTAGTGGTAGTAACAGTAATGTTAGCTGTAGATACTATAACAGTGACAGTGGTGGTAGTGAAGGTAATGTTTGCTGTAGATACTGTAACAGTGACAGTGAAAGTAGTGGTAGTAACTGTAATGTAAGCTGTAGATACTGTAACAGTGACAGTGAAAGTAGTGGTAGTGACGGTAATGTTAGCTGTAGATACTGAAACAGTGACAGTGAAAGTAGTGGTAGTGACGGTAATGTTAGCTGTAGACACTGTAACAGTGACAGTGAAAGTAGTGGTAGTGACGGTAATGTTAGCTGTAGATACTGTTACAGTGGCAGTGATAGTAGTGGTAGTGACGGTAATGTAAGCTGTTGATACTGTAACAATGACAGTGATAGTAGTGGTAGAGACGGTAATGTTAGCTGTAGATACTGTAACAGTGGCCTAGAAAGTAGTGGTAGTGTCAGAGACGACAATGTTAGCTGTAGATACTATAACAGTGACAGTGATAGTAGTGGTAGTAACTGTAATGTAAGCTGTAGATACTGTAACAGTGACAGTGAAAGTAGTGGTAGTGACGGTAATGTTAGCTGTAGATACTGTAACAGTGACAGTGATAGTAGTGGTAGTGACGGTAATGTTAGCTGTAGATACTGTAACAGTGACAGTGATAGTAGTGGTAGTGACGGTAATGTTAGCTGTAGATACTGTAACAGTGACAGTGATAGTAGTGGTAGTGACGGTAATGTTAGCTGTAGATACTGTAACAGTGACAGTGATAGTAGTGGTAGTGACGGTAATGTTAGCTGTAGATACTGTAACAGTGACAGTGAAAGTAGTGGTAGTGACAGTAATGTTAGCTGTATATACTGTAACAGTGACAGTGAAAGTAGTGGTAGTGTCAGAAACGACAATGTTAGCTGTACATATTGTAACAGATAAAAAGGCCATTTTCAAGTTATAAAATTCTCAAAATGGTAGTGAAATGCCCTTTTTAAGTGATGACTAAAATCCCCGGATTCATATTATTGTTACATGGTGATCTTCATAGCATGCCAATTTTGAAAAATATTGAACAAACCAATTTCAAGATACGGATCCCGGCCATAGGGACATAATTTTGGGTTTGTGAGCTTTTCCTTACATTTTGGTGTGACATTTTCTTACACAGAGCGTGGCAAATTTTCACGTGAAACTACATTTTACGCTGTTTACTTCTTTTTATGGACATAAACCATCGAATATTGGTCCGAACTGACGGATGAGGACGGACTGACCGAAAACTCCATATACTACACCCCTCTTCTAATTTTATCGGCGGGGTAACATTACAATGTTTGTTCAGGAAGTCGGACGTAAACTAACAACTTGGCGTTTCAATGTGTAGTCTCTAGTTACAATGTACATATTGTTAATACGTTTCTTATATGTTTTTGTAAAATGTTCGTTCTTTTTTTATAAATATTTGAAACGTTCGAAATTCAAGATAAGAGGTAATAAGGATCTACAGATTGATATAACAAAGATTGCTTATTTATCTATCTTTTGACAAGTTCATTTCGTAGGATTTTCCGAAGTCTTCTAAGACACGGCAATCATGCATTTTCCTACAATTTACTAGTACATGTATGCAATTATCACATATTTAGTAAATGGTATCACTGGGCATTGTAGTACATACAGAAATAGTTCATTTGTATGTTTATATTTATTACATATGAATTATGGCAAATAATAATGTTAATATATCTATAATGTACAAAACTGCTGTTTTTTTATATATCTATATATTTTATGTAAATATGTTGCTTATTTTGTAAATATATTTTCCTCATGGGGATAAGACTTTCGGCAATTTCCTTGACTAAAATCTTTAAAAAAATGTTTATGTTTATTCAATATATGTATTTTCTTAGGTTACCTCAAGATTATAGACACTCGTCAAAATTGCAAGTTAACACTAGAACCATAGATAATGGAGACTGTGAGTCTCATAAGTCTGTGCTAACTGTTTGATACACCATCAGGGATATTATATAATCATTTTCCATTGGTGTTTTATACCAAATCTGCACATAAAATAATGATTTTTGTCGGGTTTTTAATTTTGCATACGTCGGAAATATTGGAGAAACATACATCGCTACCGATTTTTCTAATTCTTGTAAATCGTACGGATAAAAAGACTTCGAATGAGTACAAAATGAAAGTTTGCTTTGTTTGTAACAATATCGATGGCTGGTCTTATTTTTCAATTTCTTTAATACATTACATGCGATGAATCCGACTATTAGATATTTATTTTTAATAACATTGTTTTTCTAACAAAAAAATATAGCTTTTTTTCCTGAAAAAGGAATGTTCTCTGCATTATTTCTTTAACGGGAAATGTTTCAATAAATCACAATCAGAGACTTCAGATATTCCGGGAGACCGCATTAAAAATAGCAGATTTTGTAATTTATCGTGATATCACTCATTTTAAATTAGGAAGACAGTGTTATAGTTATAGTGGACTTTATCTCCGTAATAAAAGTGGACTTAAATCTGGCATACATTTATAACAAGTGCTATAATTTGATACAATACAATACAATAGTTTACGTGTACAATACAATATTATACTTGAACAATACAATACATGTACAATACAAAATACAATACAATACATGTACAATACAATACAAAATACAACATAATACATGTAAAATACAATGCACGTACAATGTCATACAATAAGGAACGTGTACAATACAATATCATACAATACAAACTACGATACAATACAAAATAAAATACATGTACAATACAATACAAATACACTTTACTATTCAGCTTTAAACTTACAAGTTTGTAGCAATAACAATAAAAAAAAACAAATACATGTACATGGGAAATGGTTGCAAATACATGACAAAATGTTTCTAGGATAGGTTTGGCTTATACCGTTATTGCTTAACAGAGGGTTATGTATGGAAAGTTTGTCACTAAAGCAGCTTAACTATTAGATATTGCATGTGAACATTATTTTGTTCACTATTATAGTGTATCTTATTATAAAACATTAATTGGGTCATAGTGGATTTCTATAAGATAATTGTTTTAAATTAAAACATGTCAATTATTAGAAAACAATAACATTTGTTTTTATCGTCTATCTACACATATCAGATTGCATAAAAGCGGATTGGTCTATAATTGGTACTTGATATAATTTTAGGAAACGTTTAAAGTTTTACTGTCTGGTTTAAGCCTGAAAACGGAATACATTTTGTATGGGAGTCCGAGTGGGAGCATTTAGGGGGGAAAAACACAACAAAACTTTATCCCGTTTTCAGGACCAAACTAAGCAGTAAAACTTATACGTTTTAAAAGATATATCAAGTATTAAAGCAGCATACCGCCATATTCACGCTAATTTTCATGAAAATTTTTAAAATGTATTTAAAAGTAAAATATTGTGAAGTGAACAAACAACGTAATTTACACATTGCAAACCGCAGTTAACTACCAAAGAGAGGTCAAAATATTCATAAATACCTCTTACTGCGTTAGTTACGCAGTACTGAAAAATCAGTCATTCATCCCACATAACATGTAAACAATTAATTCAATATTGAATCTTTCTAATATTTTTTATTTATTTTTTTTAATTTAATTTTTTACAATTCTAAAGATTGAATATCTTGAAATATGTTGGCTCATCTGGAGGCGTTCAACAACTCACAGCATTAATTTACTATTTGTTTACATGTTTAGTTTACACCGAAATACCGTATCCGTTCTGTGTGTTCGAGGTCCTTATCCGAAGACTTACGAAAAGGGCCGAAAAGTTGCGATTGTGGTAAGGGTTCTTCACAATCTCTTACGCAGTGATCTCCCCTTATCAGTACAGAGATCTCTGCCATCACAAACATTGAAATTTCAATATTTGGATATTTATATTTTTTAGCTTTTTAATTTATTTTTCATTATTTAGTATACTTTTGATAATTTTTTGATAAAATGTAACGGACGTAGGTACAAAAAATTAAAAATAAAACAGAAAGAGAAAAATGACGTTAGATTTTCTATGTAACGGTCGATATTTACATTTGAATTTCGACGTTACGTCATGTGACTTTCATCATCATGTGACGTCTGTGAAGGCAGTGATTACAATTCTGCCAAGGGAGGTAATCACTGTGAGGAGTTTGGGTTCTTCAATAACGCTTTACCGGAAGTCAACTCATATTAATGACGTCAAACTTTTCAAGGAATGTTTGAAAGACCAAATGTACAATGAAAGCCGTATTTTTTTTACATTTGATAATAAGACTTTTGTGGCCCTGTTCAAAGTGCCGTTAGTTTTAGAAATAAAAACTTCAGTGATAAGTCCAGTTGAAAATCTATATATTGTTATTTACAACACATTTCTAAAACGAACTCGTGGCAAATTCAGATTTGAGTTTGAGCAATAAAAGACTTTATTTTATTTTTGCAGAACATGGACGTTTCATAAACGTTTTTATATGCATTAAATGTGAGAGATACATTTCAAACTTTGTTTGCAAATCCTGCCATGGGGGCATTTTTGCCACAAAGAACGCATTTCATCTCTATATTCGATTTATCCTACTTGTAAGAGAAAAGGTAATGTGACGTGCTGCAAGAAAAATATATTAAACTTGAGGAGCCGACAATTCTGACACTGGTAAGACTTCACTTGCTGAATTTGTAAAATGCACTTTTCAAGCTTTATTTCTTTTAGAACTGTCTACCAATCTGTGAATATCAAGATAGTAAAGTGAGTCAGCCATAAGTACAGAGCCGGTTAATTCTTCACGAATGTGCATCCTGGCTTACATGTATCTCTATACTGGTAAATACATTTCGGTTCCAGCAGTTTAAGGTGCAGTGTTGTTCACAGTTGTCATTCTTTAAGTTATACAATTGTTGTTGATCTAAGCTCAACGTTTAAACGAATTCAATTATACAGTTTTTAATCTGCAATATCGTCTTTGTAACTGTAGCATATGCCTTTAAATTTTCTCAAGATTGAAAAATTATCAATGCGATATGTGCATATATACATGTATAAACCTACGTCTATGAATAGAGAGTGACATAACAGATTACTTACATACATAGGAAATTTTTGTCGTAGTGAATCTTGTTTTGTCCTGTAACTGCGTGTCAATCGATGAAACTTAAGAAAAATATTGCATAGAGCCTGATATTCTGTCAGAATATTATCCACTTTCATAGCATTTTCCGTCATTGAAGACAGCCTCGAAAATAGACCCTGTTACATTATCTTTAAAGCCCTAAACATTTTTCCTCAAAGGAGAGTTATCTTTCATTATGCATGTGTGTGTATGTGTGTGTGCGTGCGTGCGTGTGTGTGTGTGTGTGTGTGTGTGCGTGCGTTGGTGCGCGTGCGTGTGTGCGTGTGTGTGTGTGTGTGTTTGTGATTTGCTTTAAGTAGGATTTAAATTACCGTGCTCTACAGTATGTATAACATTATTGTACTCTAGCAAATAAAACACTAACACAGAACGAGACCCAATATATTTATAAAAACTTGCCTAAAAAAATTATAAAATGATTGTAATAGATAAATCAGCATGTGGCGTAGATAAGTTATCATATGCACAATTTAGCTTTCCGACTTTTCATGCTATACGTTTGATGTTATAAACAGATTTAAAACGGGCAAATATACAAGCAGGGAAAGAATGTTAGATTATATAATCATCAACATTTTATAACTAACTGGTTTTCCGTTTTGATTCTAGTTTTTAATGCTTATCGCCTTGTCTTTATAATATATGAATTAATTATTATGAACAAAAAAAATGATAAATTTTAACCACTGGTGATTTCTTTAACTATTGTTTTATGATTATATTTTGATGAGACAGAAACGTTAATTTTTCATATATAAAAATGTCTTCTTTATTTTACATGGGGTAATATGATTTTAAAACGTACACCATTGTTAGTTAAAGTTTAAATATACAAAGAAAAAATCCCTGGGTTTTATTTACTTTTATTACATGCTAACAGACATGTGCAATTATTAAGTTGGAACAGAATAAGAAATAAAGACTTTTCTATATGCTTACAAGGTGAATCGTTCAGAATAGTTGTATTAATGGACTCATCTTTTCATCAGGACAAAACCATACACTGCTTTCAGGAACTTTTTTGGTTGTAATTCACTTCGCATGAACATAGTATAGGATTTATTGCGACTTTCCAGCTTTAAAAATGGGTGCCAATCCGTGCATTATTTCAAGCACGAACGGGAACCTGAGTAGAACCAACGACGTTCCGTAAGCTGTTTAGATATTTTCCTCACGTGACAATGTGCAATCGACAGTAGGTGTCACCCCGGTACGGAATTAGACCCAGCCCGTTGTAGTCTAGAAAGTAGTTCTTTTAAATTTTGAAATGGCCTATTTCAAGTCATCTTAATTGATACTGGTTATATTTTAAGTATATCTTTAGTAATTATGTACATGAAGTTTCATTTCTGAGTACTTTAAAGGTTGTTTTTGATGTATTTTTGCAGGATTTCATTTCTGGGTGGAAGGTTTCATGAGGCACTATGCACAAGAATACACACCAGTTACTATTTGGAATATTCTATAGTGATTACAGAAATTAAAAGCGGAAGAAAAACTCCAAGGGCTAATGTATTATTTTTTTGTGCTAAATTTACTTGGACTGCATTGGTGTTTAAAGAAATGGTCATGAAGTTTCGGTACCGGATTTGCTTTGTCCAGAATTTAGCCTTAAATGTGATGGATTTACTATAGGATATATGGGTCGAAAATTCAGTAGGCCGTCTCCAGTA